CTTTATCAAAGAGGAACGTTTTAAGTTTAACCTCTGGAGTTTGTGCTTAACACCTGAACAACACAGCAGGTTTTCTGCACAGACTCGTTCACAACAGCACCTGTACAGTCACACTGAAAAACAAACAGGTATCTGATTTTACACTTTGCCACAGATTTACCCGGTTAGCATGTAATGACTGGTGGTGAGTGTGGCGACAAACTACAGCCAATGACAGCTCGGGGGAGGAGTTTAGAATCAGCAAGCAGAAAACTCATTTGTTTTTTACTTTGTTGCCAACTTGTTATTTTACTGATCACTTTGTGAATCCTCCTGATCAGTCAGACGGTTTCAGACATGCACACAACTGCGTTGTTCATGTGTGAAAGGAAACCTCTGTGAAATACGTGCAATCTTTTATGAGTTTGTCTTGTCCATTATGTGTATTTTTATTGTGTTGAGTTACTTCCCTTTTGTATTTGCACATGGAGCTGTGAGGAACGTAATCTCGTTCTGCTGCTCTTGTTGTTCAAAGTTCCCTTTGACTTTGGAGGTGAAGTCTGAAAACAGCTTAAGAAAACAAATGTCATATGAACAGTGAAGCTCTGACGTTCAAACTTAAAGGTTTATTTATTTTTACTAAATCATCTATATTTGTAAAATGTTTCAGGAAAAAATAGAAAAACAGTTATTTTCTGCTTACATCAAGTTAAATTCTTACCTCTTCTTAACCAACATCCAACCAGGTGAGCTTGTCCTTCAGGTAACTGTCAGAGTGAGCTTGTCGTTACATCTGCGACTGTAATGTGTTTTTCAGGTATCAACTCCATCGTGGCCATTGCATCGTACACAGGATACAACCAGGAGGACTCTGTGATCATGAACAGATCAGCAGTGGATCGAGGTTTCTTCAGGTGAGTCTCTGCCGTTGCTAAGACCACATCTGAGAGCGGTTGAGTCCTCACTTTGTTTGAAGCTGTTGTTTTGTCCTTCAGGTCTGTTTTCTATCGATCCTACAAAGAGCAGGAGTCAAAGAAAGGTTTCGATCAGGAGGAAATCTTTGAGAAGCCGACCCGTGAAACCTGTCAGGGTGAGAACTGATGAAAAACATTTTGTATTCTGATTTTCCCTCACCTGTCAATCATGTGTGTTACCTGCATCCAGTCACAAGTGTTTGTTGTTGGTGGTAGGTGGGGCTAACGTTACCTCACATACTCAGAACAAATTTAAATCTTCCTCAGGTATGAGGCATGCCATCTACGACAAGCTGGATGACGATGGGCTGATCGCACCTGGCGTTCGTGTGTCCGGTGAGGACGTGATCATCGGGAAGACGGTGACGCTGCCGGAAAACGACGACGAGCTGGACAGCACCAACCGGCGCTACACAAAGAGGGACTGCAGCACCTTCCTCAGAACCAGCGAAACAGGCATCGTGGACCAGGTGATGGTGACCCTGAATCAGGAAGGCTACAAGTTCTGCAAGATCAGGGTGAGGGGAAGCAGCACAACACCTGACGGCACACCTGATGACACACCCGACATAATGCCTGATATGACAAAATGATGATGACGTTAGACTTGAAGTTTTCTCTGACGGACATCTTCTCCTGCAGGTGCGTTCGGTCCGGATTCCTCAGATTGGAGACAAGTTTGCCAGCCGACATGGACAGAAAGGAACCTGTGGGATCCAGTACAGACAGGAGGTAATCAGGAAGCTAATCAGCTTATTGATTTAATTGATTGTCGACTCAGTGTGACTAAGTTTTAATGTATGTGTTCAAGGACATGCCATTCACCTGTGAGGGAATCACACCTGACATTATCATCAATCCTCACGCCATCCCGTCCAGAATGACTGTCGGCCATCTGATCGAGTGTCTGCAGGGCAAGGTATTGATCAGTCATCATGACTTGTAATAATCAATAACTGGTGCGTGATCAGTGTAACATGTTAATAGTATGTCTCTTATAAGTCTGACTTTAAATTATAGCTATTATTTTGAAAGGGTTATCACCAACGTCTCTGTTGACTTGCAGGTTCTCTGCAGCTGAGTCACATTTACACATACGACACTTGTATAAACATTGACCTACATGTCAATAACATATTTATTTTTGGCGTGTTTCAGGTGTCTGCAAACAAGGGTGAGATTGGTGATGCGACGCCATTTAATGACGCCGTGAATGTTCAGAAGGTGTCAAACCTGCTCTCTGAATATGGATACCACCTGAGAGGAAATGAGGTCACAACATTAATCATGTTTAAACATTCAAAAATACAAGAAATATTTGATTAGTCTCCTTAACCTACTAACTAATTTAACGAGTGTAGGAGACTGTGTATTGATTATTGATCTGTGATCAGGTTCTGTATAACGGTTTCACTGGGAGGAAACTAACGTCTCAGATCTTCATCGGTCCGACGTATTATCAGCGTCTCAAACACATGGTGGATGACAAGATCCACTCGAGGGCCAGGGGCCCAGTGCAGATCCTCAACAGGCAGCCGATGGAGGGAAGATCACGGTGAGACACACTGAACCTGTCTGTGTCACTTGTCTGTCTCTCATCTGTCCTTCTGTGTCTCACCTGTTTATCTGTCTCACCTGCTGTTTTGTCTGTCTCAGTGATGGTGGTCTGCGGTTCGGGGAGATGGAGCGTGATTGTCAAATTGCTCACGGAGCGGCTCAGTTTCTCAGAGAGCGTCTGTTTGAGGCATCTGATCCGTATCAAGTCCACGTGTGTAACCTGTGTGGGCTGATGGCCATCGCCAACACACGGACGCACACGTACGAGTGTCGAGGCTGCCGCAACAAGACACAGGTATGCCTGATCAATAACCAATCACAACACGTGGTTAAACAGTTGTTTTTGCTGCTGACTGTCTGATGTTTCCTCTTTGTTTGTTTGTGGGCGTGGTCAGATCTCTCTGGTTCGGATGCCATACGCTTGTAAACTTCTTTTCCAAGAGTTGATGTCGATGAGCATCGCCCCTCGTATGATGACATCGTAAAAGGCTCAGCCAATCAAACATCTTCCTGTGACTCATCAGCAGGGAGTAAAAGTACGATTTGAGCGTGATGTCATCGCAGTTCCATGTTGTTGTCTCAGTTTGTTTTTTTAGAAGTTGAATAAAACTGAATTTCTGGATCACATGGTTCAGTCTCTGACTCCTCATTGGTTCAACTCATCACCAACTGAACGATGATTGATTCTATAACAAGAGAATCAAAATTCTGTCGAAACAAATATAAATACAATTAATATTTCAAATTATTAGCTGAACACTTAATCATTAAACTGAGGTTATCGTGTAAATTTCTGCATCAACGTTTGTATCTGAAGCCATTTTCAGATATGACCTCTAGAGGATCTTTGAAGAATTGGTCCAGAGTTCATGTTTCACAGCTGAACAACTCAGCAGCAGGTTTTCTGCTCAGACTCGTTCAGCATCAGATCCTCCTCGTTCTTCAGGTGAGAGGTGGAGCAGACAGACAGGAAGTGATCATGTGATCATGTTTACATCACCTGACACCGTCGTCAGCTCTCATCACCACAAACTGTCTTCACGTCTTCGTCTGTCTTCTACATGTGTGTCAGCACTTTGTCTCCAGAGACATTTGTTTGTGTTTCTTCATGTTTGTGTCACGTGTTAGAAGCTCATCACCCCCCCACTCCCTCAGTGACTCAGTGGAGGACGCTCTGCTGTGTCCTCACTTCTCCTGGACTTAGACTTTATACAGGAGTGAAGGATGGGTGGTTGTTCATCAGAGGCTGACGTACATAAATCGAAATAAAACTTTCTCCATCATTCTGATTCACTTCCTGTTTGATTTTCAGTTCGGCTTTTATTGTTTCAACAAACAGGAAGTTAGATGAGTTTCTCTCCAAAGATGACGTGATGAGTTTTCATCACCTTACATTCTTAATTTTCAGTGTTCATTGTTCAAAAACAAGGATTTTATAAATGCTGTTAAATTGTTCTTCTCGTCTCTCCGACGAGACGAGAAGTGTCCGACTTGATGGCTGTGATTTTTTTAATCTCTACTGCTGTCGACAGATCAAGACGCAGTCAGACCAAGTCCACCTCGAAATATTATTTACAGTTTTTCAGCAGGACGCTTGTCATAGTGAGAAACAGGAAATGATCCTGGGTCAAAGGTCAGGTTAGTTCAAACTACAGAAGATGAAACTGAGCATCAAACATGTTTATGACAAACTGATGATATCACCTGATGAAATCACAGCATAAGTATCTGGATAGAATGTTGATTCACTGTAAGACAGTTTTATTAACTTTACACCACTTCCTATATAAAACAGTCTCTTCTCATTGGTCCATTCTGATGTGAGGCTGTAGAGCAGATCACAATTGTGAAATACTTGTGTGTGTACATGTGTTTTTCACACTTTATTTGCAGTACTGTGTATTTATATGTAGTACTGTGTGTATTTATTTGCAGTATTTGTTGACGAGGGCTGACAGCAGGTCTCTATACGGAGTCTCTGATCCAGGACGTTGTAGTTTGAGGACTTTGTGAATCGCAGAAGAACGAAGGACGAGGTTGTGACTGAATCCGATGAGACTGGAGATGAACCAGTACAGAGAAATGCACTGTAAAAGAAACATGAGTTAGAGAGATGTTTCAATAACCACACACGGACTCACCGAGGGGATGGATCTTAACCTGCTCACATGCAATTGTTCTACAGCAGTGGTCACAATCAATTCATATTTACAGCATCTGTATATTTATTCATCTGTGTATTTATCTTCTCAGTTCAACAATATGTTCTACAGAGTTCTGCTACTGCAGCAGTGTTTTGACTTGAATATGGTCATAAAAAGGACTATTTCCTTGTATAAAAGTAGTCCTGTGTACTCAAATAAATACCAGTAGTATAGAGTATGAAGCTGGGCATCGCCACTGCTGCAAATGTTTCACAATAAAACTCCTTTTTTTAAACAAAAGAAGGGATTTAGTTTTGAAATGCACACAGGAGGTGTAGCAACTGTTTATGTTTGTGACATAAATTGAAGAGATAAACATTCAAATTCAGGTGAAAGATCATTTTCTCTGTTTATTCTGCTGTGAAACACAATGTTTATCTGGCTATGTCACAAATGTATTTCCAACACTTCCCGAACCTGTTTCAAAGTAAAAGCACTCCAGCGTTTGACTTTCTGAATCCATTCATTTGTTCTAACGGGGCTTTGATTGTTATCACAAGACCAGGAGATGCAAGAAGAAAGAGACAGACTCACTGAGGGGACAGTCGCAGCGATGGGAACCATTAAGACTGAAAATCCTCGGATGCAGTTCAGCAGCAGCTTCTGGAAACGTGTCGGATTCTGTCTCTGCAGAGAAAAAACCTGAAGAAGAAAACAGGAAGTTGGATGATTGCTGTCACAGGTCATGTTATCACACAACTGATGACAGTCTGACCTCCACGATGAGCAGGTTGATGAGTCCCACACCAAGCGGCAGAATCCAGGTGGAGTCAGGTGATGTAAGGTCAGGGAACCACAGAGCTCCCCCTGCTGCCAAATCACACTGTACCACTGCACAAATAATACACAGGTTTAAGTCCTGGACCAGGACTGATCCAAACTGAACCAGGACTGATCCAGACATTGACCCAGATGCTTACCAGACTGATGCAGGCTCAGGTTTCGGAGTGCCACAGAGAGACTGACCCACATAGGAAACTGAACCCAGACCAGCAGACTGGCTTTGAAGGGGTGACAGTTTTCTCTGACATAGAGCTGAGAAACGATACGCCGCAGGTTCTTCTGGAACTGGAACCTGGACACAGAATCACAGAGAACCACTGAACAGAGAATGACAGAAAGCAACAGACCAAGAGAAGGGTGGTGAGCAACAGAAAACCCTGTTTGTTAGGTTGTTTGTTGGATTATTTATTGGTTTGTTTGGTTGTTTGTTACCTGCTCTGTTTTTCCGTCCAGCCTCTCTCTTGCGCTCGGACAGAAACTTCATATCGAAGCCTCTTTGCCAGCTCAGAGATCTCCACCTGCAGCGCCTCCACCTGCACATCACCTTGAGGTTACTATAGTTACCATGATGGACAACCAGATAATTCATGAGCGTGTCACTGACTTCCTGTTTGTTGGATCTGTATTGTCATGGAGACTGAACAAACTCAAATTGAAATTGATGAGTGTTGATAATCAAACCCTTTGTTGTCGTTGTTCAGACTCATCAGCTGATCATAACTTGACTGATCTATAGTGTATAGGGGGAAGCAGTAGCTCAGTCCATAGCGACTTGGCTTGGGAACCGGAGGGCGGCCGGTTCAAGTCCTGCATGGACGGAAGTTGGAGAGGTGCTAGTTCACCTCCTGGGCACTGCTGAGGTGCCCTTGAGCAAGGCACCGAACCCCCCAATTGCTCCCCGGGTGCCTTCATGGCTGCCCACTGTTCCGTGTGTGGTCACTGTGTGGATTGTGTTCCGTGTGCTCCGTTCACACGGATGGGTTAAATACAGAGTTCAAATTTCCCCATGTTTGCATGTTGCTGTGTGTGGGACCATAAAGAGGAATCTTAATATTGATAAATATATCAACAGCTGATGTATCAGTGCCCCATCACCCTCAACTGACCTTGGAGATGATGACCAGCTGGTAAGCAGCAAGCGGCAGAGTGATGAGCGTCCTGACTGACAACGTCACCGTTACGATACTCAGCCACCACGGCATCCCGCTCAACTGCTGGACGCTTACCAGGAAGTGCTCACACAGGTGAACCGGAGCTGAGTCCGCCAGGCTGCCGTACCAGCCAGACGCACCTGTAGCGACACTTGCTACATCATTCGCCACATCACCACCGCCAACACCTGACATCATCCTTACAGGTAACCTGTGGCAGGCTGAGGGTGATCCAACAGATGCACCTGTACACCAGGTGACACATGCAGGTGACTTCCTGTGGATCACCGCAGAACAGACTCCTCGAGCTGGAAGCCGCAGGAGGCGGAGCTCCAGGACCCCAGACCTCGCCAACCACCCAACACTCAGCATGGTCACACCCCCCCCCCCTCACAGTCCTGAAACACAGAGACAAACAAGAGGGTTACAGAAGACCCTGAACACATCACACATGTAGACATGTAATCTAACATATTATATAATATATGGACATATACAATGACAAGTAGACATGTAATCTGACATGTTGTTCACCTTTTCCCTGTTTTCTTACCTGTTCAGGTGTTTTATTCCTGCTGGAAACTTTGTAAATGTGTGAGTCTGTTTTGTTCCTCATCTAAGTGATGCATAAGGGTTTGTTTTTATTCTGAATAAAACTGATCTGACACTTTAACAGCTCCTGTTTGTTTCCTGCTGATTGACTGTCTGACACTGGACATTGATTTCCTTCTCGTTTTGAGTTCTCAGAGTCTAATCTTTGATCAGGACCTGGTCTGATGTGGTCTACATCTGAAAACGTGTTTGGATTCTCACAAATCAAATTTCAGACGGTGACTCATTTTAAACCTCAACCGGAAACTAACTTCAGCACAAACGGAACAAAAAGCTGATCAACGCACCTTTGTGACGTCAGCGGTCAAACGTCAGTTCATCTTTTATTCGCTCATATTTTTATTCTTTCACCTTCATCCCTCCATCCACCGGCAACACAGCGTCCCGTACTTATGACGTCAAATCGTTTCCTGGCGCGTGGCGGGTACGTTAGACGTCACGGAGAGATCATACCATCATAGATTATATAAAACAATACATAACTTTTTATTTTATATAATTCTAATCAAGTAGAATCAGAAAAAACGTCATACTTTCACAATAGAGCACATTACACAGGGGAAAAAACAATAATATATTTAAGATCATATACATTTGAATAGTCAGTATAATTAATGCCCATTATAACGCGTGTGTGTCCGTGCGTTTGTGTGCGTGCGTGTTTGCGCGTGCGTGTGTGTTTGCGTGTCTCTCTCTTTTATTATGAAGTGTGGAACCGGAAGCGGTGACTCAGTCAAACATGGCGGAGTACAGTCAGGCGGGCCTCCTGGCGGCTCTGCTGCTCTTCACCGCCCTCACGGCCCGGGACGTTTATCTTGGCAGATCGAGCCCCCAGCGCGGACACTCTCCGGCCGACGGCCCCGACCTCTCCTCGTCCACAGAGCCCGGCAAAGCCGCCAAACCCTCCCTGTACACCGGCCCGGTGCTCAGGTTCCAGTACTGGTGAGTTCGTTAGCATGGTGGCTAACAGGCTAGCTAGCACATCTGATCCATGATCAAAACCGTGTTTCTCTTCGGTACCGTCAGGTCTCCACCCTCACACGTAAACCACTTTGAGATCATGTTTGTTGAGATTTGATCAATTCTGATCAGTACTAATCAGCTGACTTCATGTTTTCAATAAAAGGTTTAATGATCAGAATCATTCAGTTGCTCTGGTGGACAATTAGCAATTAGCCAATCCAACGCTCCCTCGAAACTTGTGGGTTAGGAACTTCACATTTGAGCCTTTTATTGTGACGAATCCAAACACATCTGTGCAATAATCTGGCTCTTTAATCTTGATACATCTCAGGTGGATTATTTTAACGAAGGTGCTCATTAATACTGATTGTTTACCCGCTAGTGCTATCCGACCGCTGCAGCTCATCCAGAATGCAGCAGCTCGACTGGTCTTCAACCTAAATTCACTCCGCTCCCTTCACTGGTTACCAGTGGCATCCGTTTCCAAACACTAGTACTTGTGCACCGTGCTGTGAACGGATCGGGTCCAGTCTACATCCAGCACATGGTCAAACTTTACACCCAAGCACTTCCACTTCGCTCGGCATCTGCCAATCGGCTGCTCCCTCACTGAGAGCTAACCACTCAACAACATCACGACTGTTTGCTGTCCTGGCTCCTAAATGGAACGAGTTCCACATTGACCCCCGGACTTCACATCTTCCGCCACAGCCTAAAGACACATCTCTTCAGACTACACCTTGGTGATGAAGATGATGTCTAGTAACCAATAATAAAACAAACACACACACACACACAGTGGGTTCAGGATGAAACTGTAGAGGTCAGAGGTCAACAGCTGAGGTGTCTCCTCTTGTTCAGTATCTCCTGAGGTTACAGCAGAGTGTTCCAGGACTACTCTCTCACCATCAGCAAACTGTACCCAGACGTCCGCATCGAGGGAGAAAACTACCCCCCCTCCCCCTTCAACAGGTGAGCTGTGACTAAATGTCCTCGATTGTTAAACTTGGGGAAGATTATAAAGCCTCAACATGTTGTTCAGGTGCAGACCACCTTAACTCTCCCACTCCCCCAGGTGTGTCGGTCACATGACCTCCTATTTGAAGCTCATCTCCATCCTACTGATCGTCAGCGGGCAGAACCCCTTCATGCTCCTCGGCCTCCAGACTCCCCGAGCCTGGATCTGGAGTCAAGACAACAAGGTATCTATTACCTCTGTTACTGTGGCAACTGATGCGACTATCTCCCCGTCTCCTCTAGGGCTGTCAACGAATATTCTAAATTCGAATATATATTCGAATATTTAAAAAAAACGAATATTCGATTGTGAAAATTAATATTGGACTTTGGAAATAAACACATCAGTGGCTGTTTTGCGAGTGGGCGCATTGCATGACAGGTCAGGTCGAGGAGTTGCACTTACACAGCGTCACTCACATTCTGAAAGTGAGACGCGACCAGGGTTTCCAGGCGGGTGGATAAAAATTTGGGTGGGTTTCGGATCGGTTCGGGGGAGTTTTGTAGCCAAAACACGGGCACTTCAGATCCTTCTTCCTGCGACCCTCTGTTCAGCAGTTTCACTCACTCACTCATTCACTCACATACACACACACAGCTCTGGCTGACGTGCCCCCTAAACTCGCAGCATACACTCCAACTACCTTCAGCTCACCTCACCCACAGAGACCCGTTATTACCTTTACAGTCTATGGTTATTACCAACCGTTATTAAAATTGTTTATTTAAATCAGTATGCGCATCGCGCATAGAGAGAGAGTGGCGAGCGACGGAGCGGTCTTTTTTTACAATTAGTTAATTTACTTATTTTGTAATGTGTAGGTATGTTTTATGTTAAAACTGAAATAAAAATAACTACACAAGTAGTTATGTCTCGTTGTTTTAGTTTGTCCTCCTGTTATTGACATACTGCGTATGCGCATATATTCAAATGGTTCGAACGGATGTGTTTTTTAGAGCGAATATTTGAACGTCATTTTGCAGCAATTTTGACAGCCCTAGTCTCCTCCCCTTCCCACTATCTCTCTCTTCTCTCCCCTCTTTTTCACCCATCTMYCCTCTCCTCCCCATTTTTCTCTGCTCACCCCAACCGGTGGAGGCGGCTGGCCGCCCACATTGAGCCTGGTTCTGCTAGAGGTTAACGAGGGAGTGTTTCCTCTCCACAGTCTCAAAGTGCTGCTCATTGGGGGAACTCTTTATT